GTAGATTGGTCAAGTAAATCGGGTATAACAGGAGATGTTTAGTAGTAGATTGGTCAAGTAAATCGGGTATAACTGGAGATGTTTAGTAGTTGATTGGTCAAGTAAATCGGGTATAAGAGGAGATGTTTAGTCCATCATTAATCTTCCCCAAGTTTAATCCAACGATTATGCTCGAGGCACCCACTGTTGTGACGAAATACTCATCCTTTCATGACGTCAGTTCGTTTAACAGCGCTAGCACTACGCAGTAAACATCGTTGTTGTTGCTGTTAATTCAATAGCTCGTGAAAGGAAACGTGGGTCAGTTTAAGTTCGTAGGGTGGAACAGGTGTTTTGATTAGGACTAGTGTGCGCCATGCAGGTAATAAAAACTTTTGTATTATATTGATGACAAAAGTAATATTCAGGTAGAACAAATAGGAATTCATTTTCTTAAAATACTGGCTATCGATTAGCGAGAAGAGTAGATATAAAACATACAGCGACATCTGTAGATTTTATGTACAAATAGCTGTATTGTAGCATGAAACTATAAAACTTCTCCAATTTTCCAAGTCGTCATAACTATTGTACCCCAACTTTCAACTTAAGTTGTGATTTTGTTAAAGAAAAAAGTTTGAAAACGTTCTTTATTTAAAGTTTTTAGTATTTCTTGTGTTAAGTTATATTAACTTATTATTATTATAATATATAATTATAAGTTTGAGGACGATATATATATATAACCTTAATTGAATTGAAAGTTATTGATATTTAGAAATGAATTCACTTTCCTTGGTAGACGCACTGCTACGAGGTTTAGCTACAAAGTATGTTTTCTGTAATATTGATCAGACCAATTCTAGAAACAAAGCATTGTTATATAGCTTTCTTTAGAACTGTGGACAGTTTCAACATCTACTTGTTCTTACGTGTGTTCCTCCCTAATCAACTTTTCGATTGTAACTGTTACGTGATGTTGACCCATACCTTTTCGATTTGTAACTGTTACGTGATGTTGACACATACCTTTTCGATTTGTAACTGTTACGTGATGTTGACACATACCTTTTCGATTTGTAACTGTTACGTGATGTTGACACATACCTTTTCGATTTGTAACTGTTACGTGATGTTGACCCATACCTTTTCGATTTGTAACTGTTACGTGATGTTGATCCATACCTTTTCGATCTGTAACTGTTACGTGATGTTGATCCATACCTTTTCGATTTGTAACTGTTACGTGATGTGGACCCATACCTTTTCGATTGTAACTGTTACGTGATGTTGACCCAATATTATTGGTCGAAACGCTGTAATCATTAAAACAGAGCTTGCTTACTGTAAAAGTTGTTGTTATTATATATTTTTGAATTAATTATGTCAAAGATTCATCCCCTCTTTTTTTCAAAACAGCTAAAAAGGATATTTAAGTTATAAGTTGTTTTGATAAACTGGCAAAAAACTAACCAAAAAGACTGTCAGCTACGGTCTGTGTTTTGGGAAGTATTGAACACACTAATTGGATGTTAGTTTTAGGAAGAAAATCCACTTGCTATTCGGCTACGTTTGTCTAAGTTTGTTTTTCCGTCATATCAGTTAGCTAGAGATAAGCAGGATTGGGAAACAAACATATAATTATTGGCTCAGTGATCTTCACCGGTAAATATTAGTGGGTAGTTTATACGTATTCACGTGCGTATACGTCGCCAGGAATGATCTGTAATAATCATATTTCACGTAGCCTATTTAAAATAAAAATATTATTGGTAAAATAAAAGTAACTCATCCTAAAATACCCTTCTTTCTACCCTAACAGAACATTTAATGAATTTATGATGCTAGAAAAACACGTAGGTTGAAAAAAAACTGAGCCAAAAATTTAAAAAACCCGAGCGCACGGGTTATAGGGTTTTGTATTTTTGTCATAAATAAAAGAAATACTGTATTGAACGTTCATAAAGTTGTCAATAATTTAAAAAAAATACAAATATTTAAATGCTATAAACAGGGGCGTTATTTGCCCCTCCTGACTTGCAGGATATAATATGATCACGTGTAAGATGATCGAAGTTTTCGATATGTTGACACAACTTTGTCTCTTCCCCATGATGTTTCTGTAAAGTGGGAATTTTCAAGACCCCCCTCAACTGAAATGAAGTATTCTGTGTGAAGGAAATCTTATTTTGTCAGGATACTCGATACACATTCTACGGTTCGAATCCCGTCACCAAATATGCTCGCCCCTTTTAACTGTGGGGGTGTTTTTTATAACGTGATGGTCAATCCAACGTTTCGCTGATAAAAGAGTAGCCCAAGAGTTGGTGGTGTTGACTAGTTAGTTGTCTTTCCGTAATCTCGAGTAGCTTTGCGTGAAATTCAAAAACCAAACAAGATTATTTTGTAGACTCTACCACACAACCACTAAAATGTAAAATTCAATAACCAAACAAGATTATTTTGTAGACTCTACACACTTTGGTGGTTGCGTGAAATTCAATAAACAAATAAGATTATTTTGTAGACTACACACTTTGGTGGTTGTGTGAAATTCAATAAAGAAACAATATTACTTTTTAGACTGTATACACTTTGGTGGTTGTGTGAAATTCAATAAACAAACAAGATTATTTTGTAGACTCTACACATTTTAGTGGTTGTGTGAAATTCAATAAACAAACAAGATTATTTTGTAGACTCTACACATCTTTGGTGGTTGTGTGAAATTCATAAACAAACAAGATTATTTTGTAGACTCTACACACTTTGTGGTTGTGTGAAATTCAATAACAAAGAAGATTATTTTGTAGACTCTACACACTTTGGTGGTTGTGATAAATTCAATAAACAAACAAGATTATTTTGTAGACTACACACTTTGGTGGTTGTGTGAAATTCAATAAAGAAACAATATTACTTTTTAGACTGTATACACTTTGGTGGTTGTGTGAAATTCAATAAACAAACAAGATTATTTTGTTGACTCTACAAATTTTGATGGTTTCTGCCCACTGATGTTAGCGATCTTAAAACAAAAGTGAAATTTTAAAGCCCTTTTTTGCCTTTCCAGTAGCACAGCGGTATGTCTGTTTCGAAACCCGTGGTGGGCAGAGCACAGATAGCCCTTTGTGTAGCTTTGTGTTTAACAACAAGAATAACAACAGCCTTTTCGTACTTCTTGACATTTATTTGGGGAAGGTTTTAAACGTAGCTGCTTTAGAAATTTTTATAATTGTTGAATAACTTCTTATCAGTTTAGATCTTTATTGAGATTTCAGAAGAAGAAGAAAAAAACCCGTCAGTGACTTACATCCTACAAAACTAAGGATATTTGGAGTTGGGTAATCATTTTATTTGCACGTGACTACCACGATGCCAGAATTTGTATTTTTCTTTAACTACCTCTTTTTGTTTGATGTCACGAGGTTGTGTCCTAAAATAAATCTTCAACTAAAAATATATATTTACGTTTACTACACCTACGTTTTCTGATAGCGAAACTTACGATTGGTGCTTTTGTAAAATATGTAAGTAGATCTATACTGTCAGGGGACGTCACAGTGGTTGCGATAATATCCATATTAAATCTACTTTTCGCTGTCTGTTTATTCTCTGGCATCTCGGTGGGTCAACGGTAAGTTTCGCAGCTACAACTCAAAATTTGTGTTTAATAACAAACAACCAAACATGTTTATCCTTCGTATCATGAAAAAATAAACATTATTCTCCTTGGGGGTCGACTAGTAACTAGCGTACTGAATTACAGATCATTGGGTCCAAGGTTCGAGACGTAATGCCGCAGAACACGCTCCACATTTTCAACTGTGGATGCGTTCTGCTAATTGTAAGCTATATTTTTTATGTTGTAATTTGTTTGTTAGCCTGAAGGGAATATGACTTTAACATAGACCTAGAACGCTTTGAAAATTCTGAATTGACGTCAATTTTTTCTCGTACTTTCGAAGCTAGATTATAAATACGGGACAATATTTCGAGAGAGAGAGAGAGCGTGAACTGGAAGATGATCATGGAGATAAATAATTATTTTAAAATGGTGAGTTGAATCAGTCAGTGCGTTTTCTTGAAATATTTGGATCTCTGCTTGTTATCGTTGATTTTTCATTGGTCCTGGTATTGTTAGAAAGGTTTGAACGTCATTTGTAACGTAGGCCTACAAGAATTTACAACAATGTGCAAGTGTTCAGGCTTGTCGAAACGTTAAAGGAGGAATAAAGTAATGTGTGATCGTTAAGTGGTTTGTCTGTTTTGAAGTTAAGTACAAAGCTACACAAAGGACTATCTGTGCTCTGCCCACCACGGGTATCGAAACCGGATTTCTAGCGTTGTAAGTTCGCAGACATACCGCTGTGCCACTGGGGGACGATCGGTAAGTGGACTGAAGGTTTTATTATTTTCATCAGATAATGTTAAAGAACCCGCCAACGAAAGAACATCGTTACTACAGCACATATTTTTATACATAAGCTATTTGTTTTTAGTTGAGCACAAAGCTACACAATGAGATATCCGTAGTTTGCCCACCAGTATTTAGCTTATGTAGAGGCCTAAATTAATGTCTATAAAACAAAAATCCAATTTTGGAATTAAGCTTACTAATTGCTATTGGGTTTCCTTATTAATTTTGTATATAAAACAAGTTATTTAATTTATTTTTCAGATCATTATATTTAGCTTAATATGAGGTAAAAAATGTAACATTACTCGGCAAGATGTAATATGTAGAGTCCACCGGTAGTGAAAGGTGTTGTTGCGTCAGCGAGTCACGTGACTACTGTGACGCAGCGTTTCTAGAACTATCGTGTACTTTGGCGAATGCTCTAGTAATTACTAGATATAGGGCAGGCTGGTATATAAAAGAGGGTAATGTAATGTGTGCGTAGATAGTGAGTAACTGATCTGCAGTCAGAAATATTATTGAGCACGTTCGTCGTTATAGCGTTTGTTTAGCGCGATTGTTGAAGTTGAGTGTATCGGTATAGTTGTATTCGGAAAGAATAAACCAATTTTTATTAAGAAAGAACTTGTGTCACTTAAGTTTCGTCGGAACGAAGTTACGGAAAATCAATTAACAAACGGAGACGTAACAGTATGAAACAAGTCGGTAATTTGAGGTTTAATACGTTAACTTGCAGTTTTGACAAACTTTTTTTTTCGAAGACTGTACATCAAATTATAGAGTGGTTCCATTTTATACCAATGACTGTAGTTTTTTTAGCTATTACAAAAATTTCCATAAGTGTTACTGTCTCACTGATATTTCTTTCATAGCTAGTATTAAGCTTTGATTATTTTGAAATTGACAGATTACTTACTGACTTACTGAGAAACAAAAATTTGATAGTTTATTAGAAAACTACT